TAAGGATAAAAATGGATATAAAAAGCTAACAGAAACAGCAGTAGCATTTGCAAATAACAGTGTATCTATAAAGTATAAGACAACTAACAACAAAAAAACATACCATTCTGAAACGTCCTGTAAGAGCTGTGCTTGCACAGGTTCTGCTCGATCCTCTTCACTGATATTCTCTGGGTCTGATTCTGGCTCAAATTGATAAGGCAATATTGACGCCATTGTTTACCATACACCGGAGCACATGCATCTTCCGTTTTTAGGAATAAAGGTAAAATCTGTGGAAATTTTTTTTTTTTTCATACGAAGCATGAACACATGTTAGAGTGCACCCCATAAACACAATCAAACCTTCAAAAATAGCTGATTTACCACCCCTTTAAGAGTGTATACTGCATTCTAAACAGCATAATGATGCCTTCACAGAGTGGTGGGTGAAACTACACATTGTCAAATAAAGCCCACTTCAACCTTGAAACCTTATGAAAGTCTATATACACTCACCGGCCACTTTTTTTAGATATACCTTGCTAGTAACAGGTTGAACCCCCTTTTGCCTTCGGAACTGCCTTAATTCTTTGTGACATATTCAACAAGGTGCTGGAAACATTCCTCAGAGATTTTGATCCATGCATAACACAGTTGCTGCAGATATTTCGGTTGCACAACCATGATGTGAATCTCCCGTTCCATCACATCCCAACGGTGCTCTATATCAGTTGAGATCTGATGACTGTGGAGTATGGTATAGTGAACTCGTTGTCATGGTTAAAAAAACAGTTTGAGAGGATTTGAGCTTTGTGACATGGCACATTATCCTGCTGGAAGTAGCCATTACAAGATAGACATTACACTGTGGTCATAAATGGATGGATACAGGGACGTGCACAGACATTTTTAGGGGCAGGGGCTCAAGTGGAAAAAAGGGCACTTCTCATATTTATTTACATTTTTTTTATCTAAACAAAACGTTAAATATATTAAGGGTGTGCGATATTGACAAAAATATATCTCAATATTTTCTGGGATTTTATCGATAATGATAATTAGATGATATAGTGTGTTATTGTGCTGGTATCTTTAGGACTGCCGTGGTCAGATGACTCCTACAATTTTTGATATTCTTCATATTCTGTGTGGTGATCAGTTCACAGCAGTGATAGAAATTAATATTTTCCAATAAGTTTAAATTGATTTTTACCTTTTATGGGCATTTTTACCTTCATAGAGCCATTTATTTAAAGTGTGCATCATCTTTTCAGTCAAATTCTTAAATTGAATCAGTCAATTAGAATAAGTCATTTGGGC